TCTTTGATGTCATGCAACAGTTTCAGTAGTATGGGTGTCAATTTTTCTTTGTAGGTCTGGTAGAATTTTACTGTTTCAATCTCATTATTGGTCTTATTCAACCTTGGGAGGTTTCTTGTTTCCAAAAATTTATCCATTTCTTCCAGATTTTCCAGTTTGTGTGTATAGCTTCTTTGGAAGAAAGTATGGAGAATCCTCAAAGAACTCAAATTAAACCTCCCATTTGATCCTGCAATCCCATTACTAGGCGTCTACCCAGAAGAAAAAAAGTAGTTCTATCATAAAGATATTTGTACTAGATTGTTTAACACACCTCAGTTTATAATCACTTAGGTGTGGAAACAACCTAAATGCCCATCAACCCAGGAATGGATTAACACACTGTGGTATATGTATACCATGAAATACTATTCAGCCATAAAAAGATGGAGACCTTATAGTTAATTGTATTAACCTGGATGGAGCTTTATTACATTCTTAACTGAAAGACATTCAATATAGTATCACAAGAATGAAAAAGCAAATATCCAACGTACTCAATACTGATATGAAGCCAGAAGACAATCTAACACATACCCACATAAGAGAAAAACCCAATTCAATTCAAGCCGGGGAGGAGTGGGAATGAGGGAGGGGTGGAGAGGAGGAAAAGAGGAGATTGGTGTGCTCCCACTTACTGGGCACAATGTAAGGGTACATGGCACACCTTTGGGGTGTGGGACACAAGTACAAGAGGGACTCCACCTAACAAATACTGTAACCTAGTTGTACTCTCACATTAACCTGAAATTAAAAAATGAAATAAAAAATAAAATAAATAAAATAAAGTGGGTAAAGGATAAGGCAATTCACAGGAGAGGCAATCTCTATATCCAAAAAAGAAAAAGATAACACGCATTCAATCTTATCAAAAATCTCAATTAAAATGTCAATGCAACACAATTTCTTAGCTAAAATACTGGCAGAAATAAACAGTCTGACAATACCAAGTTTCAACAAAGATGTGAAATTATAGGAACTCTCAGGTAATACTGATAGAAATGCAATTTGTTATGGACACCTTGGGGAAATTTTGATGATATCTGACAAAGTGAATGACGTGTCTAATTCTGCCACCTAGCAGTACTTCTTCCGTGTATCTACCACTGTACATAGTTTTCAAAATGAAGGTTGCATCCAATTTCTCATTGGTCAAAACATCAGTTTAGTGTGTTGAGACCAACGTTATTTTTGAGAGCAATATTTTTTAATGTGATAGATTATAATAGGATATACTGTAATGGATTACAGTAAAGATAAATACAGTTTCATGAAATGCTTATTTCTGATATTTATAATGTTTATGTAAATATGTATGTAGTAACTAGGTTCCAATGTAAATTTTGCCTATTACTAATTACCTAATTTTGTAAATTATGGCCAAAAATGTCTAAAAGTGGTATCCCTAGAAAAACAGTTATACATGGACAAAAATAAATGTATGAAAATATCATTTGTACCACTTTGTAACAAACTAAAAATTAGAAAAATATGGCTGTCATGAATAGGAGAATGAATAATTATAATCATATAATGGAAGACTATATAATAATAAAAATTAATGAACTATAACTATAGGTATCAACATGGATGAATCTCAAAGCATAACTTTAATAAAAGTAGAAGATAAATATGGTATGATGATACCATTTACAGAACAATTACTACGTAGTAACTGAGAAATACATATATGGGGGAAAAAACAGACATTCATGAGAATAAACATCACCATATTCAGAATTGTGTTTTCTGCAAAAGAGGGAGGAAATATGATGAGGGAGGAATATACATGAAGCCTCAACTACACTTGAAAGGTTTTTATTTATTAAGTTGATTGATGGATATACAAATATTGATAATAGTATTATTCTTTTGAGGTTGTCTAAAATGTTTCATAAATTTGTTAAAGAGAAAGATACTCATAAACTAAAATGGTATTTAGTTTGAAATTTATACAATTTCCAAGAAAAGGACTGGTGAATAAACAAATAAACAATAACTTTCTACATCAAAAACAGAGAAGGTTTCTATTCATGATGATGAAATAGAAAATGCATTTGCTTTACCTTCTTCCCAAAATTCAACAGGTGGAGTAATAAAGATACACTAAAATGAGTAAATTCATGGAAATCCTAAAAACAAGAGAATTATCATTAACCAGCCAACATTTCCAATGAATTCCAGGCAGCTGAAAAACTGAGGGGCTGTTATTGGAGAGAACCCTGAGTGGCAAGAACTGCAGCTCACGACAAGAGAGATGCTGTGCTCAAACACAGTTCTTTCTGACCAAACACTCTCTTACTCCATGCCCAGTCAGTATGTAAAAGGAGCAGTCATGGACTATGATTAACTGTGGTGATTCAAATAGGTGTATAAGTAAAGGTCTGTCTACTCAATAGTTATTTTTGAAACACCAATAAACCCACCCTACTCCTACTCCTGTCATGAACAGAAAGAGCATGCACAGAGCAATTGGCCGAAGAAATGTTCAAGTAGAGCCTCAGGAACTATTCTCTAAACAAGAGTTATTTGTCAAGGAAGGAAGGAGAGGGGATGTTTTATCAACAGAGATGGGTCATAACTTCTACAAAAGAGTCAGAGGGTAGCAAGAAATATTTTCATTTGTTCCCCTGGTATCCCAAAAATAAAATCTTCCTTCTTGGCCCGGCACCTGTGGCTCAAGCGGCTAAGGCGCCAGCCACATACACCTAAGGTGGCAGGTTCGAATCCCCAGCCCGGGCCCACCAAGCAACAATGATGGCTGCAACCAAAAAATGGCCAGGCGTTGTGGTGGGCGCCTGTAGTCCCAACTAGTTGGGAGGCGGAGGCAGGAGACTCGCTTGAGCCCAGGAGTTGGAGGTTGCTGTGAGCTGTGATGCCATGGCACTCTACCCAGGGGGATAGCTTGAGGCTCCGTCTCAAAAAAAAACTTCCTTCTTTTGGCAACTACAGAATAAACATAAGCCTGCCTTTGTCTTTTTCTTTTCATTCAACCTAAAGGGAAGTCTACCAATGTAGAGACTGAAGAACCTACACAAATCTAGTGATCATTCTAGAGAGCGATTTGATGGTTAAAAAGACCTATTCAACAGCACAAGACACCCATTTACCATGATACTTCATTTAAGGATTAGGAACGATTGAGGATTTTGGTAACCATGATTACCAAAATTATGAAAAAAGAAAAAAAAGTAAAAGGAATAAATGTAATAATTGATCATAGAGATAAAAAAAAGTCAGATTAAAAAGTCCCCTAGATCTTTTAAGAAACAGATGCTTTCAAAAAAAGGTAAAAGGAATAAATGTAATAATCCAGGTCCCCTGGATCTTTTAAGAAACAGATGCTTTCAAAAATAAACAGTAAGCATGAGATAAACTTCTTATTTATCTTTATATATGTGTATTTTTCACAATTGCATATAATTAATATGCATGATACTTATCATTAAGGGTCATTTTTAACTTTTAGAAATTAATACAATTTCCTTTTCTATAAGATGTTTACTGCTACTTATACTATAACGGAAATGATTAGACATAATATTCAATGGGAAATTCAGTAAGCAATTTCCTGTATCTCCATTATGCGCTTTCCAAATGAAAGCCAAAAAATACAGGCAGGAATACGCTAGGGCCAATAGATTTCTGTTCCTGACTGTACCAAAGCTTTTTGGAATCTTACCAGACCCAGTGTCCTGAGGACAGATTAAGTCTGGACTGAATAGTTCCTGGAAATTTAGTAACCTAATCTGGGTGTCTTTGTAAACAAATCGTATAGTTCTAAAATTTATATCCAATCTGGGGAGGGCTTGACATAATTTAAAAGTTCTGAAACAAATCCATATCTTAAGGAAGGTTCTGAAATTTTCCTAACCTCCTGGAAGAGCTAGGTATTACCTGGCTCATATTTTCTAGGAGAACTTCAGAACGAAAACAATCTGTATGAGGCCTAGAGATAAAGCACTGTCTGTTCCCCAACTTTTTCAAGTACACCGCTTATAGTACACTTAATTTTTTACTAAGGAACTTAATATCCCAAAAGAGTTAAGAGTTACACTGCCTTTCAAAGGACTTAAATGATACCAGAGAGAACACAGTACAGTTTTTCTATGGCATTTTTAAAAAGGAAACTTATTCAAAGAACAGATAATGTTTTTCTTGTCCTGCATCCTTTCTTGTGCTCTTCACGCATGCACAAATATAAACTACCTTTATACTGTAGATAGCAAGCTGCTATTTAGTTGCTCACCTTCACCAAAATCATAAATCTGACCAAGTTTGTCTTAGAGTTCCAGAGTCCTGTTTCTGTAGTTTTGCTACCACAACTAAAACTTTTCTTCCTACTCACAATACCAGTTCTCTATCATGTTTACAACTTTTCTCAGAATCAACAAAACAAAACTAGTCCAATGTCCTCAGTTTAGAAAACGCTACACTGAGGCCCAGAGAGTTAGTGATCTACCTCTGTCACATAGCTAATGAGAGGGGAAAGCTGAGACAGAACTATGCCTCTGAAGCCCAATATTATGCTCTTTCCACTGCCTTTTAAAAACTGCAAAGGAAATATTTATGTGTGTTTTTACAACCCTCAATCCTTCCTCTCTATGCCTTTTCCCTCTTGATGCAATAATTCCTCAATTTTCCAAGTCACAAATAAGCTTCTTTCTTATTAATTCTATGCCCATGACAAAACAGGAAATGATTCACTACTCATTTACACTAGCTGATTTTAGTGATAACACTTCTATTTCTAATTTTATGTTTATTCTTTTAAACGGAAAATACCTAAATACTTCCTAAATCAATATAGTAAGAAGCTCAGTAATTATATCCACAATTCAATTTCAGAAAAAAACTAAGTAACCTTAGATTCTTATTTTGCATAAAGCCATGCTATAACATGTATCATTTTTTAAAAAAGAAAGCCAGAAAGTACATATCAATACCATTTTAATACTCACCACAAAAGTGATTTGATTGTGCCGCAAGTTCAGTTCAGTTAGTGAATCCAGCCCATTGAGATTATCCACATGACTTAAAAAGTTTCTGGCAAGATTTAAAACTCTCAAATCACTCAAATGATTGACATTTTCAATTTTGGTAATCTGTTAAAAAATGGGGGAGGGGAGATTAGCAGGCAAAAATATCCCCATGCATGTTCTAAAAACCCTAAAATCGAAATATCCAAAGTTGTTGGATTCAGTGACAAGTTTGTATGCAGACATTTAAAAATCTATTTCTAATTTCCTATGCTGTAGATAACATGAAGTCGTGTAACTTATGAAATTATCTAAAAGATCATAGTTTACATTTTTATCATAGTAAACATTTATATTAAATTTCACCAAATAATCAATGGGTCCATTACCTAGGGTAACTTTAAGAGCACAATACTGTGCCAGCTATGAAAGTTACATATTACTTGCCAAATAGAAATGTACCGTTGAGTCCAAGGCATACACTCACAATGTTTTGACAAAGCAAGTCTACCCTCTGGGGAAAAAGGTAAGGGAAAGCAATAATACCAAGTTCCCCTTTTAAATTTTATTTATACTGCAGGATCCTCAGAGTGGCCAAGAGTCTGAATGGAAAGATTCAAGGACCTAGGATCCCCAGTAGAAGGTGAGGATATTCTTTTATTAATCAGAAATGCTTGAGAGGAGAAAGATAATGTTTAGTCAAGGTATAATATGTAGCTACTAACTGTTTAAAACAAGAGGACTTGAACTGTGGAATATGCATATGCTCCTAAGTACCGAACTGCAGAGTTTGAGTGACCTACTAAGGTGAGGGTAAGTAGAACCATATCATCAAAAAGTGATGAGAGCTCAGCATGATTTTAAGCCCCACTATTATAATATAGCAAGCAAACCACAATAGAACGAGTTTCTGCATGACATAGAATAAAAATCCCGATAAAAGACTTCATCATCCTCTTAATACAATGTACTTAGGTAATAATGAGTCATACACATAACATGCTTCTTCTGAACATTAAAAAATGAATTTCAAAATCACTAGAGAATAGTTGACTCATTTGTACTGTCATCACAGTATATTTGAAATTTTTAATCTAATACTTCAAAGCAGTTGTTAGCTAAAAGAACTGATTTTTAGATGTATAAGCTATATTCCGTGTTGTTATTTGGATCCTCTCTCACATTTAAAAAACACTATCTAGATTCCATCTAGGTTCCGAAACAGAAACATATGCTTATTGTAAATTCAATAACATATAAAGGCAACCAATGACATGTTTAAAATTTGTTCTTGATTTCTGATCTAACTAATGTAAAATGAAATAAAACTATATAAAATTTGAAAAAGAAGAAATAAGGTTATTGTAATAATAAATGACAGAACTGTATAATAAGATATATAGACTAAAACATTTCAAAACTAGTAAGCGATAGAATTCAAAATGTATGAAACCAATAAAAAGTAAAATAGACACTAGGCCTGTGGTGGGCTGGGGAGGGTGCTGCTCTGAAAGTGGATCCCCCAGGCTAAAGCTGGAACTTGAAATCAAGCACTTCCCACATAGAGCACGGGAGGATCTGGACAGGGGAACTGAGGGTGGTGGGGCCCAGCAGGCTGCCATCAAGCGGGAAGACAACAGACCTTAGCTACACTGGCAGGTCCAAGAAGAGGTGCCGAGACCTTCCTGACTGGGGCAACAGGTGCCCACATCAACCCCTCTTGAGGCGGCTTCGGAGCGGCTCTAGAGACCCGCAATCTGGCAGGCTCAGCTGACTCCGACTCCGCTTCCAGGCCTGAAGAGCTGCCTCCAAGTCCGTCTCCCATCTTCACCATCAAGATTGGAGGGGCCCGGACCTCTTAGGTCCTGTTAGGTCTCTGTGTCTCGGTCCCCTACCCGGCCTAGTTCCCAGGGCCCCCTTGACAGAACTTGGCGCATCATCCCCGAGCATCCAGCTTCCTCCCCGGGCCTCTGCCACCTCCCTCAAGTTCCGTGTTGCACCTGGCTCACAAGACCCCAGCCCCGAGCTTCCACCACCACAGCAGTGCCAGAAGTCCTGCCCCGCGCCCCGGGACCACGCCAACCTCCAATTGTCAGCTGAGACCAGGATATAGCAACACACTTGGTGAGGGGAACTCAAACGTCAAGGACAGCAGATTCGGTTACCACTGATACTAGAGCGCCATCTAGTGACCGCTCCTTATTGACTGCAGCCGGAATATTTCTAGGATCATCTTAACCTCTAAGCAGGAAGATGAAAAAAAAAAAACAACAAAAACAACAACAACAACTGAGAAGTCAGCAAAAGAACACAGGCAACATGAAAAACCAGAACAGATAAACTCCACTGATGTGATCACAATGGAGCTACAGAAAAAAATTCCAACCATAAAGAAATTATTGAAATGACAGATTGTGGATGGCAAATAAGACAAACAGAATTGAAGATAAAGTGGAAAGCTAGCAAAAAGCAGCTCAGGAAATGTTTCAGGAAATTAACGAAATTAACAAAAAAGTCACCAAGGATCTGGACAAAATTAGCAAGAATATAATGGAGCTTAAAGAACTGAAAGAGGCATTCCGGGAGTTTCAAATCATAGCAAGACGTTTTAGTAACAGTATAAACCATGGAGAAGAAAGAATCTCAGAAGTTTTCTTCAATTCTTTAAGCTCCATTATATTCTTGCTAATTTTGTTGAGGTTGCTTCAACATATGCAAATTTATAAATGTAATTCACCACATAAATAGAAGTAAAAACAAAGACCATATAATCTTCTCCATAGATGCAGAAAAAGCACTGAACAAAATTCAACACCATTGAGGGTATAATAAGCCAGATTACACTGCTTGTGTTCAGAAAATTTTCAAATGAAGATAGACTAATGGCCAACAAACACATAAAAAATGGTCAACGACTCTAATTGGGGAAATGCAAATCAAAACCACATTAAGATGGCATCTAACCCAAGTGAGAATGGCTCACATCTTAAGGTCCCAAAGCAACAGATGTTGGCACGGTATGGAGCAAAGGGAACACTCATACACTGTTGGTCAGACTGCAAACTAGTCCAGCCTCTATGGAAAGTAGTAGGGAGATTCCTCAGAGATTTTATAGTAGACCTACCATTTGATCCTGCAATCCCTCTACCAGGTATCTACCCAAAGGAAAAAAGATATTTTATGATAAAGACATTTGCACTTGAATGTTCACTGCCAGACAATTTGCCAGACAATCTCAAGGATGTAGAAACAATCCAAGTGCCCATCAATATATGAATGGATTAACAACAACAACAACAACAACAACAAAATATATATATATAATGAAATACTACTCAGACATTAAAAAAAAAAAAAAAAAAGGATAGTGACCTATCTTCTGTAATAACCTGGATGGAACTGGAGATCATTCTCCCAAGTGAAGTATCACAAGAATGGAAAACAAACACCACATGTACTCAATACTTAATTAGAACTAGTTGATCAACACCTAGGTGCTCACAAGGAAGCAAAACTTAGCAAAATTCAAGTAGGGAGGAGGAAAAAAGGGGAATGGTAAATTCCCACCCAAGAGGTACACTGCATAGGTACACTGCACACTTTCTGAGTGAAGGGCACACCTGTAACTTTGACTTAAAATATACAAAAGCAAACAATGTAAGCAAAATGTATATATTTCCATAATATCCTAAAATTAAAAAAAAAACTGAATCACCTTTAAAAATGGAAGAAATTAGTAATGTCAATACAAGCTTGAGAAATCCTCCTAAAATATCAAGGAAGAATAATAGATAAAATGGGGATACGGAAAACCAACAATATAGAGACAACAAACATAAATGGGCAGGAAACAATGTCTAAATACGTAAAACTTTCCTGAACGCGGGAAGCATATAAATAGAGTGAAGGGGCACAACTGGATGACCTGTATCTCCCTTCTGTTAATAGCTCTGGACAGTCCTTTCAGAAAACTATTCTTCCACCTGGTCCTGGGAGGACTTACTATTAGAATGCCTATACTTTTGAGTTACCTACTAGTTTGAAAAGTCTGAAAAGCAATGCTGCTTAATTCTTGTGTATAGGAATGAACCTGTAATTTTTTTAAAAATCACTAGAGATATTATCTGGCTTTTTGGTTTGCATTCCAAAATAGCCAGAATTGTGTACAACATCTGCTATGGAATAAAGTCACTCACTGCAGCCAGAGGCAAAGTCATAAAAATGGGTCAGGTGACAGAAGCTTCAGGCAAAAGGTAACATAAGGAGAAAGTATAGTCCTTTTCTTTTTTGAGACAGAGTCTCAACTTTGTCACCCTTGGTAGAGTGCCATGGTGTCATAGCTCACAGCAACCTTGAACTCTTGGGCTCAAACGATTCTCCTGCCTCAGCCTCCCAAGCAGCTGGGACTACAGGCTCCTGCCACAACACCTGGCTATTTTTTTTTAGAGACAAGGTCTCACTCTGGCTCAGGCTAGCCACTGTGCCCGGCCCCATCTCCCAACTTTTTAGAAATCTAAGGTCATTAAGATTGTATCTTTACTTTGAAATACTCCAAGTTTCCTTATTGGACTTATATATATGTTGAAACAAGACTCTTGTAGTTATAGAACCTTGTGAGAATCATATGTACTTAATTTGTATAGTACAAATATCTAATCTTAATACACAGAATATCACAAAAGCATGCTGAATATACAATATATAAACACAGATCAGCTAACCAGAAATAGAGCATTTTTCATAAACATAATGGTAGGTAAGTAATGCCCACATATAATGTATAGATCAAATAATATGATGTTCATTTATCAGGTGTTCTAGAAGATCATGAGTAGTACCCATGACTTCTTAAAGGTAGATTAGAATTTGAAAAAGGCATAAATGTTTATTATTTCTCACATATACATTTAAAAATAAATTTGAGAAAAATATTGCCACCATAAAAGGTTACACTAATAGTTAAAAACAAATTTTAAAATAGTGGACTAAGATAAAATATCAATTCCTCATCCTGGTATATGAAGCCCTCCACAATCTGGCCTTTGCCTACCTTTCTAACCTCTGCTTTCTCTGTTCCTCTATATGTGTTCAATCCTCCATGGTAAAGAATACATTGTTTTTAGGCTCACTGCCTTTGCATATAATATTCTCTTACTGTCAATACTCTTTAATTCGTCTTCCCCTTGCACCACTATCTAACTGGATAACTTCCCCTCTACACTGACCAGTCTGCAGAGCTGGACAACTCCAAGGATACCAACACTCCTCCCACCACATGTGCATGTAGACAGACACACACATTGGGCTGGAAAGAGATTTAGGACCTAGTGGTTGAGCTCTGTCTAGATCTACCAAGGAATTTACTAACTATTTAGACTTTCACCAAAACTATTAGGACTAACAGGTATTAGAAAGCTTAATGCAATCATGCTGAGGTTTGTACCTGACCAACTGCAAGCAGCAGTGGCAGATCTTGTTCATAAACAGGCAAGGACTCCTGGATCATCCCAGAACACAGGGCTTTTCACTTCAGAAGAGACTTTATCTTCTGCATGAGTCTGTAGCTCATGTAGCTATTTATAAATAAATACATTTCAAAGATAAAAATATAAACAGATGAGCAAAAGGCTATAATAAAAAAAAAGGGTGCTCTGACTTAAAAATAAAGAGGGGAATGTACAAACCAGATTTAGAAATTAAAAAAGACAAACATAGAGGTAGATAAATTAATTGAACAGAATAGAAGCACAGATTATACAGTAATCAGGAAGATAGAAATCAAAACCACGAAGTGATATCACTTTATACCACATCAATCAGCAAAAATTAAGACGTCTAACAATTCCAAATTTGGAAAGGATGCAAAGCCACAGGGCTGACTATGTGTTACTGGCAGGAGTATAAACTTTCCACTATGGAAAACAAATTGGCACTATCCTTTGGAGTTAAACACTAAAATAGCCTATAACTCATTGGTTTCCTCCTTAGACATACAGAGTATACTTGGAAGACACAGAAGAGGGGACATACACAAGAAAGTATTTAGAAGTAGTATACATAGCAGCAAAAATAAGCAAACAAACAAATGAACCAAGAAACAATTCAAATGTCTCTCGATAAGCTATTGGAGAAAAAAGTTTCTGTACAGTCTTAACCATAGAACACACAACAGTGAAAATTAAGAAATTCTAGCTACTTAAAATAGATAAATCTCAGTAATGTAACACTGAATCTAAAAAGCAAACACTAGATGTCAACAAATAGTATGATATATATTTTTTATTAAATCATAAACATGTAGATCGTGTATACATTAATGCATTTATGGGGTACAATGTGCTGATTTCATATAGAATTAGGAGCATTTACATCACACCTTTTTATTTTCTTTGAGACAGTGCTGTAAGCTGTCGCCTTGGGTAGAGTGCCATGGCATCACCGCTCACAGCAACCTCCAATTCCTGACTTAAGCGATTCTCTTGCCTCAGCCTCCCAAGTAGCTAGGACTACAGGCGTCCACCACAACACCCAGCTACTTTTTTGATTGCAGTTGTCATTGTTGTTTGGCAGGCCTGGGCTGGATTTGCACCCACCAGCTCTAGTGTATGTGGCTGGCACCTTGGCTGCTTGAGCTACAGGCGCCAAGCCACATCACACCTTTTTAAAATGAAAAGATAATACTACTGAATGATACTATTTGGACATAATCTATATGTGATAAAACCAACTAAAAAATTCACAAGGGAATAAAAATGTGAAATCCAGAAGAGTAGCTAACTCTGAAGCAGAAATAATGAGACGGAATAAAGAAGAAATACCTAAGTACACGAAAGTAATATTCTAGTTCTTGGATAGCATTAGAAACATTAACTGAGTATAAGAGGGAGTCCAAAATGGTTGGATAATATAACCTATATTATAAAAACAAATTAATACTGTAATCTCAGCACTTTGGGAGGCCAAGGTGGGCAGATCACCTGAGCTTACAAGTGCGAGACCAGCCTGAACCAGTGCGAGACCCCCATCTCTAAAAATAGCCAGGCACTGTGGTGGGTGCCTGTAGGAGGCTGAGGCAAAAGAATCACTTGAGACCAAGAGTTAGAGGTTGCTGTCAGCTATGACGTCAGGGCACTATACTGAGGGCAACAAACCGAGACTCTGTCTCAGAAAACAAACAAATAAATAAATAAAGTTAATAAAAAGTAAAATAAAAAATAAAATTGCAGTAACTCTAAGGATTCTAATGCTTTATAAGTTTTATCTGTCATTTCCTGCTAAGTAGTTACCAAACATTATATCAATAGGCTTAATATCTTAGAAATTCTAAGGGATCAGTAAAGTCACTCTTGAAAAATTAAATGCAAGTATGTATGATTTTAAAAACTTTCATAATACCAATTTTCTGGACTTCTCAAAAAAAGAAAGGAATGAAAGGGCTTTACCATACCTGATTTCCATGAAGGTCTAAGACGTCTAAGCTTTTTAGGTTTTCTAGATTTGAGATTTTCTTGATTCTGAAAATCAGAAAAAGTAGAATAGAAATATGGATGTATCACATCTCTCTGTAAATCAAATCAAAGCATGCTAACATATAAAGGTGCAACTCATTTTAATTTACTCTCTCTATACAGGTATAATATGTATCTTAAACAATAATACATTTCCCTTTGATTTATAATAATTTTAAAGATGTAATACCACATGGGGAAAGATAACTTAAATAGATAACCTAAACATTACATCTTTAGAAAAGAGTGATTTCACTTCTAAGAACATTAGGTCAGAGTACTTATTCAAGGCTGTCTCTTTATCTTAGAATGCAATCTAAACTCCTTATTTCTGTCTGCAAAGCACTAAACTATGTGGGTCGCTATGAAAGTTTTGAGACAGACTGTGTTACAGACCATTATTTCATTTTCAAAAAATACAGTCAACAGTGTCCTTTCGGATTCACCCGCATAGGTTTCAGCTTGCTTGGCTTATCAGTGTTGCTGGGAAAGCTTCGTTTCTGTCTATGCATATTTTATGTTTCTTGATTTTGGTATATCTCAAAACTTTTGTAATGACCCACATATCTGGCTGCTGACCCTTCCTCCAGCCTTCTCTCTTACTACAGACTCACTCTTCTCCAGGTACAGGACATTCTTGCTGTATTTCTAACCTGACAAGTTCATTTTCACCTAGTGCATTTACCTTTGCTGTTCCTCTGCATTAACATTCTTCCCCCTAAACTTCACAAGGTTCATATTTTCACATCATTAAGGTCTCAGCTCACACATCTTAGAGTTGCCTTCAAGTGATCCTATCTAAAAGAGCTTTTCCTTACTGTCCCCACTACTTCCTCCTTTTTGTTTTAACCAATTTCCCAGCATTTATCATTGCCCAAAATTATACTTTTTTTAAATATTTCTCTTACCAAAGCAAAATTTGGGCTTCAATAAGGCAAAAACTTTGACTCTATCCCCAGCACTTAGAACAGTGTCTGGTACCAAGTAGGCACCCGATTACTTATTTGTTTAATGAATAAATGAATCTATTAACTAAATGGATGAGTTTTATGTACAAGGGTATTCATAATAGGATTATTTATCACAGACACAAATTACACACTGCTAAATGCTTTCTACTGATTTGTCATCTTGTAAAAAGCTAGTACTTTTCTATGAATAAAAACCAGGATTTTATCTGTAGAACACCCCCTACACATTGCCTCCCTCATTCCTATCTTCTAGGGCTACTTGATCTGCCCAATTTCCTCCAGCTGGACTCTTTTAACAAAACAAAATGCTTACTTTTATTGTTCTACTTTCTCCTATTATGATTATTCAGTAGAAAGATGAGAACGATGGCAAAGAAAGGACAAAATATAAAGTTCATGCAATCCATCATTGTCATCATATTTTTGTCACTAGTTGTTTCTGCTGTCATTATTTTATTGCCTCAAAGAACCATTTTAACCTTTCTAAATATTTCCAGAACCTAGATCATCCATTGAATAATACTTACATAATATATGATATTATATATCATTTGATATATATACATATCATAAATATACATATGCTGATTACCATTTAAATATAATGCAAACTTAAATTTTGTGAATGTCTGTCTCCTTTTGACCTCAACCATGTTACATCATCTTATACCAATCAAGAATCATATCATCATGAACTGATTTTATCTAATTTAATTTATAAAAATATTTGTCATACACCCTATTATGACCATGTAGCTGTACTTGTCTTCACTCCCTTATCACAAACATACTCCACTCTCTTAAGACCACAACCTCTTCATCGGTCTCTTCTCTCACATCATCACACTGGCAGAATCTACTCTTGTCCTAGAAAGTACCCTATATCCTGAAAACCCCTATCTCACTTCATCTAAACCATTATAATCCTTCTGAACTCACTGGAATTTTTCATTAGCCTTCATTTCAGAGCTGGGCATTTAATACTATCCCATCTACCATTTAAATCTCTCAAATAGCTAGCCCAACCATATGCAAAAACAGACACAAATATCTAGAATAGCTGTAGAAAATTAAAGTACCTTAATACTATGGACAGAGTCATGTTTTATGACAGCAATCTGACCTCAAAGCTAGCAGAGAAGCCTTTTGTTCAATTCCTTTATACTTCCAAACTCACATTCCCTAAAATAGTGGTTCTCAAGTTTCTGAGGGGTTGGCTCAACCACTGACTATCAGTTTCTTTTATTGTCCTTTAAACCAGCTTTGTCATCCTGATGCTTCCCATATCACTGAATTAATTAAAACATTGGCCTCTTATCTATTTATCTGAGAATTATATTTTTAACATTTTGAAAATGATACATCAGGGATAATAGAGATTATCTCAGCATAAAGTTCTGTGATCTGGAGAATCAATGTAGACTTTTTCTGTGTTTATCAGAAACCCTGAGCACCTTTAAAGAATTTCAATCACAGGAACCTTTCTGTAGAGTATGAGCTTTCCCACAGAATTCTACCAGGGCCTCATACTCACTTCCTTTTTCTTGGGTCTTCAAGTATTCTTTTAGCTTTGACATATACCAGCTTCATGACTCTCACTTTAGATTCTGATTGCCCAAGTGAACAGGAAAAAAAAATAGGCAAGTAGCTCCAGCAATTAAACCCAAGACCAACCAAACATCTTGCCATCTTCTTCTTATCAGGTACCTTTGGCATAAATTCTCTATCCACTCTGAGAATGTGAAATGACCTAAAAACTCATTCAATTCTAAAGAATTCAGAGTTTGATGAAGGTTTCAGTTGACCTAGGGGGTCACTTGTCAGATTAGGTCAGATTCATATGAGGAATTTGCAGAAACCTACTCAGTGCCTAAATAGTTGAAGACTTTTATATTAACACCAATGTAACCTGAATTTTTTTTAAGTTTTTCTACTGAACAGAAACTGAAACTAGAAAAAGGCTTGCCTCATCTGTCACTTAAGCAGGTACTGGCCTCTAGGGTTATACTGCAGCTGTCTCTGCAGGCCTAGTTATGTCACTGATGCTGGGATACAGACTCTACCACTGGCCCTACACAGAGGCTTTGCTTTTCAGGTTTCAGAGATAAATACTTAATGGGAAAACTTCAAAGAGCCAAAAAGAAAGGCATAGAGAATCCCAGGATTTGGCAGAGTTTTGTATCCATAATCCTGGACAATCAGAAGAAAATGCATATAGATTCTATTATTCATTAGCCTGTAATTATGAGGAGCACATTTCGTTCTAGAGAGGATAAGCCAGGGATATTGAAGGCAGAAAAATCAGAAGGCAGAAACTTCAATAGCAAAGTTGGGTTGGGAGTTCTTTATTAGCAATGTAAACCTCTCATACAGAATCATACAGAAAGTACAGGGGTCTTTCTAACTTTTGAATAGAAATCTATGTTGAGCCTGACTGAACCAGTGTTTATGGTTACACTGGATTCTCACACATGGTTCCAGGGCCTTGAACTGAATGATGGTGCAGGGCTTTCCAATATGGAAGGGAGAAACCCTTGTGGACTTTTCCAGCAGAGGGCAGTAAGTCCTCCCAGACAAACATGAAGAAACAGGGTGCAGATGCGCTTCCCTCTTCACAGCCTTATCAGCCAGGTGTGCCTAATGCTCACCAGTCCTGCCTCAGGATAGATTCGCATGTAATAAACTCTACTGACTGGAGACTTGGCATTTGTTTTAGGGCTCAGATTTGCATTTACTGATACTTTAGAAACAATTTGGGAGAATGCAGAAAGTTATCTTCTGACTAATTTCTTTTGATTGCAGAACACTAATAGTTCTAGAATTGTTTAACAACTAGAAATTGTGTAAAAAGTAAAATATGACCAAAACCAAATAAATAAGCAAATATGATGGAGGAGTAGAAGGAGGAAGAAGAGAAAACATCAGATTTCTTTTACTTCACCAAGAAGAGAATATAGTAGAAAGGCATTGGGTCCCACAGACTTAGAAGAAGAAAGACCTTAAATAAGATCAAAAGATCAAATCAACTGGTGCCTTAAAGGCACAAATTATTAAGAAAAAATAACAAGCAAAAAACAACCTAAACAGTTATTTCTGAGAAGTCAAGGAAGCTGAAAAGTAGTAGGAAGAGAGACTAGAAGTAGGAGGAATGAATTAAAATGGTAGGACCCAAAGGCAGCTCTCAGATACTACATTTAAAACCAGAGGATGTTTAAAAATGTCACTAGAAGACATTCTTAACTCAAGGACTAAATAAAAAGGCAAAAAGGCAAGGGTTGTTAAAGAATAAATGTTAACTTGGACAAAGACATCAGTAACTCTCTGGAACAACAACTGATAGAGAAATCTCCGGAAGAGATAACAGGGAGCACCTAGAAGGAAACACCTTGAATGTTTGAAAGTGAACTTCCCTCCTCACATTACTCAGTGACCGCTCTCATGACCGCTCCTACCGTACAGAGTTTGTAACTTTGTCAAAGTCACTTTACCTTTCCATTTCTTTACCTTTAAAATGAGAAAGCTGACCTCTGAGGTCACCTCAAGTTTTAATACTTTGTGATTCTATAATAGCTCTCCAAACCTCATGTTGAAATCTGATCCCCAGTGGTGGGGCCTAACAGTAGGTGTTGGGTCCCAGGGGCAGATCCCTCGGAATAGAGGATGTAGAGGAGTGAGTTCTCTCTCACTGTCTACTGGTTCCTACTAGAGATGGCTATTAAAAACAGCCTGATACTTTGCTCCTCTTCCCTCTCTTCCCCTCTCATCTCTGCACACATCTGCTTACTTTTTGTTATAAATTTTCCAGCCTCATCTACCCATAAGAAGAAAAATCACTTTATCATAAGGACGTATGTACTGGATTGTTTATCACAGCTCAATTTATAATCACCAAGACATGGAAACAACCTAAATGCCCATCAATTCAGGAATGGATTAACAAATTGTAGTATATGTATACTATGGAATACTATTCAGTCATAAAAAAGATGGTGACTTCACATTCTTTGTATTAACCTAGAGTTGAAACCCATTCTTCTCAGTAAAGTATCACAAGAATGGAAAAGCAAATATCCAATGTACTCAATACTAATATAAAACCAGTAGATGATCTAATTCACATTCACATAAAGAAAAACTCATTTCAATTCAAGTTGGGGGGAGAATGGAACAGGGTTTGGGGTGCTGCCACTGATTGGGCACAATATAGGAGTGTATGGCACACCTTTTGGGTGTAGGACATAGCCACAAGAGGAACTCTACCTAACAAATTCAAATATTGTGATTTGGTTGTTTGTACTCTCACATTAACCTGGAAAAAAAATATACCCAGCTTCAGGCATTCCTTTCTAGCAACACAGACAGACTAAGACACTCCTCAAATTCCCTCATTCTACCTGCTTAGTTTGACACTTGATACTAATTGTGAGAGATAAACTGCACTGCAGGGAACTCTCAGAGAAACTATAGAGGACAGCTAAGAGCCTAGGACTCTGAGACATGGTCTTGGGAAAATATATTATCATTGGGTAGTAGGAATAATGATTGCTGGGGCTCAGAATACACCACCTTAAATTACAGTACCTAGACATACTGAGTAATTTAAGCTGTAGGAAACTGAGAAAACCACAAAAGCAGGGAAGTCACTCTATGACCTTCTCCCCTGAAGCCATAAAAAAATTCCCTGACCCACTTCCCCTGGAAGTAAAGTCCTAAGACCCTCATTCCAGAGGGATCTGGACTTATACTCTCCAAAAGGAATGAAGACGCAGAGATGCCGAGAAGAATCTGAAAAAAAAGGCCTTACTAAGTTCTCCCAGTTTATTACCATTGTATCATACCCCCATTCACCCACTCATACTTCTGTACAACTGTTCACTTGTCATCAAATCTAAGCATAAAAACAGTTGTCCCCATTTCTTTGGGCCTTCATTTCTGAGGGTTCCTGTGTCACCTAAAACTCATGTTAAATACATTTGTTGTGATTTTCTCTTGTTAATCTGTCTTTGTTACATAGGCATGTCAGCCATGAATCTTGCAATGGAGAGGAAAAGATATTACTTTTTTCCCCCATACAAGAAGCAATCCAAAATCTATGTTTGGCAAATGAAGGATGGACAGAATAAAGAGGGCAAGCAAGTATGGGTATAATGCTATATCTAAATTTTATCATTTGAAAATATACAAATCATTTTTGGATTTGCTAAACAGCCCTTCTTTGTAGGCATAGCAAAAGGTATCTGGTAAAAGCAAATGAAAAGTAGTGAATAAATCTTGAAGACACGAGTCAGGAATTGTGTAGCTGCACTGCATAATAGAGCTGTATAAAAGGAACTGGGCAAGTTCACACAGGATCTAATATTACATACATACTGAAACTATCATCTGAAAAAGAATCAATCAGTGATTTGACAATCAAAAGGTATCAAGTGTCTACTCTAAGTCAAATACTAAGATGAATCACAAGTCAAACACACAAGTCTGAAGTGAATATACATGCTTAAAATATGTCCTGAGAAAACAAAATGTTAAGGCCAAAGTCTGCTATTTACTTCTATATCAGATATGACAAAGCAAGCAAAGTACACAATCAATAAACGTTATTTGGTTTGACAAGCTGTCATACCAAATCTCATGCAACAAATTAAGACTGAATCTTAATTGATTTAAATAATCTTTCAAACATTTTGGTTGACTCATTTCTTAAGCATTATTTAAGTCTGAGTTGCCACCTTAACACCATAGGATTAAGCATTGCTCCTCATATAACATTAGGCTATAAACAAAAACTGCTCTACAAAGAATACCTGTTTTTCCCCAACAGAAGGACACGGAGGGATCTCAGAGTAGAAAGGCCACTAATTTCTTCAATCTGGTTATCATATAAATCCAAGAATATTAACCTTTGTAGATTAGAAATATTTTGGATCCGAGTTATAAAATTATGTTGAAAGTTCAACAAACGAAGGTGTTCTTCCCCATCGATGATAGGACATACTGTCAGCTTTTGCCTAGAGAAAATTTTTAAAAATTAGTAAGGCTCTAATTCAGCAGCCTACCTTCTATTACAAATATTATTATTAGTGTCTTTGTGCTCTCATTCTGTGAGCAGAACGAGATAAGTTGGACCTTATATAACTTCCATGAATTAAGTGATCTATATTTAATTGTAACATTCACCAAAAAAAGCCAATAGATATTGGGAAAGGTAATTATTAAAATTAAGTCTAAGGCTTCATTGTATTAAAAAAAACTCAGTATTGGGCAGTGCCTGTGGCGCAAAGGAGTAGGGTGCTGGTCCCATATACCGGAGGTGGCGGGTTCAAACGCAGCCCCAGCCAAAAAAAAAATCTCAATATCAATGATTTCACGTGAAATTGACTTAATATTAGAAAACACTCAATGTGATTACCTTTTATGACAGAGGTTTAAATGATTAAAAGAACCACACCATAAGCCAGAGAAGTGCCCTTAGCATCAATTCATTGATGTTAGACTGCCTAAGCAAACTAATTTATGAAAGAAAAATCATATAAAAAGATTTATCATAGAATCCTAGACCCTGGAATCAGATGATATCTTCAAAAGAGCAAGAAATTCAGTCATCAGAAGTGTACTTGGATTAAAAAAGAAAATCATCTTGAAATCCATTAAAGGTAAGGTGGTCCTTTCCAAATAATGTATGTATGTTTACTTCAACACTAATTTTGAACTTTGAGGAACATTTAGACTGCTACAGGGTAGGCTTAACCTTAAATATATATGCTTTTATGTGTATTTAAAATAGTAAGCTTCTTCTTTGCAAAAATTTATATTACATGTGAAGTAAATAAGTACAAGTTTTTGGGTTTTTTTTTTTTTTTTTTTTCTACATGTATGACTTTTCCCAT